AGTGGCAAAGTGGATAATAAATGTTTTTAATTTGCTTTATTTGATGATTGCAATTTAGCTACTCTTTATGGAGGGTAATTTTAATTGGAGACTGTTTCTAAGTGGATTTCAAAGAATCAATTTACAATCTATGTTGGAGATGAAAAATTGATTGAAGTTATATTAGGAAAGGCTATTACAGTAGCTAAAATTGAAGAAGATTAGGAAGAATAAGAATAAGAAGATAGAACCATTTAATAAACTAAGAATGAATTACCAAATTTATTTTACTATTTTTATTCAGACTTTACATAATAATAGATTGTACTTTATATAACTTTGAAACTTAACCTTGTCTAAGGAAAAACACTTATAATAGTTTAAAATTTGTTTGAGATTTATTATTTACAATTACTTTTTTAGAGATGTAATATTGAAAGATATCAAATTTATAATCATGAAAATCCAAAAACACTTAAATATTATACTTTATCAACTTTTAATACTGGAGTTATTTAAATACTTATTGCAACTGCAAATGTCTTTTTAGATTTAGAAAATGAATTCTTTGAAAGAACTAAGTAAGTATCTAAAAAATCTAAATAACCTTACACTCTAAAGAAGTTAGATAATATTATATTATATAATTTATTACCTAATGAATTACCAGATTAAATATTAAAATCTGTTACAAATACTGTTTGTATAGCTTCAAATAATGAATAAAATGTTGAAACAGTTATGTAATTTGTTAATGCAGAATATAATAAGGTTAATTGCAAAGAATATCCAATAAAATAAAATGAAATTGAAGCATTCCGTTATCGTATAGAAGATACAACTAAAAATATATCAAAATATTAGGTTAAAATGGCAGAGCAAATAGATTTCAAAAAGAAGATGGTCAAGTCACCAGATTTAGTAGAATATTTTTAATAGAATCAGAAAGAAAAAGAATTATTGTAAGATCAAATTGTATAATTAAAGAAAAAATTAAATAAATCATCAATATAATTACCTTAAGGTATTTATATGTTATAATGTCTTAGGTCCTGTGCCTGAATATTTATTACCAGAATTCATTAAGAAATAAAGAAAAATGTAAGGAGATTAATAAAAAGTAAAAGTTCTTGTTAGAGTTCATGATTAAAATACTGATAAATTAATTAAGAAAAGAAGATTGTTGAATGATGAAATGAACAATAATATGTTACCTGAGTAAGAAGAAAAAGCAAAAGCAAAAAAACCTGAGAATTAATATGTTACAATCAATTAAGAAGATGAAGATCCTGAATTAGTAGATTCATCTAGACTTAGACCTATAAGTGGTAAGAAAATATGGAAATTAAAACATGGATTTAAATTAAAAAAGAGAAATAAGAGATTAGAAAAGAAAGGTGTCTTCACTACCTGAGTGTATATAAATTAATTTATTTAACAATTTTATAGAATTTTGTATGATATATATAAATGTTCATGAATAAATCATTAATCTTTAGGTTGATTTGTTAAAACTTCTTTGAATGAAAATGGCATAAATTTAATACCATCAGCTTTATAGAATTTACTTTAGAATTCAACCCATTACAATCTTAAAGCATGTAAGAAACATTCCATAAGATCCATACACATTAAAACTATAATAGACATATATTAATACCTCCAATAGTGCAATGTAAAAATATGGGCCAACCTATGACTAATACAATTACATTTCCATCAACAATACCAGCACCAATACATTTCTCAAAAAACACTTTAGCCAATTATCCATGTGCTAAAGATAATGCCCATAAACGTAAATATGATGCAGTATTACTAATAGAACCAAGAACAAATTCAATAGTTTCAATAATTTAATGAACAGCAAGTTCTCCAATATCAAATTCTTCATGTCCATGTCCATGTCCACCACTTTATTCTTATTATTTTGGCAATATTTATTATGGTTAATCTTTTGGTTGAATATCTTCTCCTGCTTATTCTTTGAGTCTTTATTCTTCTAATTGTTTTCTTTTTAATTCCTTCTCTTTTTCCTTTTAAATTAATTATAATCTTAATTCCTCAGCTAATGCACTTTAATTAATTGATTTTTAACCTTATTACATAGGCAATAAAGCTTCCTTGCTTTCATCTTTAGGTTCAAGTGCCTTTGAAGGTTTTTTGTCATGTTTTTTTCCACTGTAATGTTGAAAAACTTCAATAATTGGTTTTGGTATAAGCATCCATGGAATACATAAGAATGACCAAAATAAAATAGATTATTAAAGGGATTCTTAAGATTCTAAATCAAATAATGGTTTTCCTTCTGTAGAACCTCCTTATAAGGGGATATTGATCATTGAATTGATGATTGATGGAGCTTTATCAGTTCTATCTTCCCAACTCTATCCCCATTTTAACATAATCATTATTGCCATATAACCAAAAGTAATGCACATAAATATCAATTATGGTAGAAATTCAAAAATAAAAGATAAGTAATCTTTAAAATATAAGTTATTCACTCCTTTTAAGAGAATACCAAAAATCATTTAAGAAACACCATAAATGATTGCAAACTTCATTTTGAATGAATTAAAGAAGTTCAATTCATTGCTTGCTATATACCATTTAGGATCAAATCCAATTGGATAAGTACATCCTTTTATATAAACAGTTTCTTCAGAATCAGGTACATTTTCAAAACAACTTCCAAATATATTCCAAGTCAAAGACATAAAGTCATTATAAATAATACCACAATAGAGTGCACATAAACCCATCAATAAAAATAGATATCTAACCTATATTAAACCAGCAAAATCAGGAAGTTTTCGTAATGTATCAGAATTTTTTACTAAAAGGAAGGCTAAAATAAATAGTACTCCTCCATGTCCAATATCTCCAAACATAATACCAAACATGAAAGGAAAAAACATAACAGCAAACATTCCAGGATTAATTTCTTTATATCTTGGAATACCATAAGTATTGACAATTTCTTGGAATACATAATTGAATTCATTAATTTTAAAATAAGTTGGTGTAAGCACTTTTTCAGGTGGTTCTAATTCAATAATTTATCCAACTGAAGTATTGCCTTAAGAAACACTCAATTAATGTAACATATGATGTAATTCCCCTTCTACATGTTTTGGTGCCCAAAAGAACCCTATATATATTCTTTCTTTCTAATAAAGATAATTTAGATTTGTATATAGTGCTTTTTCTTTCACCATCAACAACTTACTCATTTCAAGCAATGATATTTTCAATTATGGTTATATCTAAGCATATTCTAATAACAATTCCTTTATTTTAACAGTCGTCAATCTTAATAACTAAAAGTTAAATGCCATCATACATTGTCGCATTCATCCAAAGAAAGATCCAATTCTAATGTTTTTTAGACTAATAACTAAGGATCATCTGGAAGTACAAATTTTGCACAATTAAATGAATCACAAATTTTGTTCAGTTTGGCTCTCAAAAAGTCTTATCCTCCTCCTGTATATACAATCAGAAACACTGTTCTTTACTTTTCCAAGTTCTTAGAAGCTGACTTATCAGAATCCAAATTCACTGATTCTAAAGAAGCATCAATTCTTGAATATTCTATATCAGACAATACTATCCAAGCATTTCCTTTTGAGGCTCTAAATACCATTCTTTTAAAACGATTAGCTTCTAATCTATCAACTACTCCAACCAAATAATTTAGATTATAAACTATTATGATTATAACTTATAATTTATACGTGGTTGTACTACTTTTTGTTGATCTGGTACACCACCTATCTATGGATTTATAGCCACATTTCTTCCTTTTGTATAATATGTTGGACCTAATACTTCCTTTGATTTTATCAAAACAGCTTTGTGTTCAAATAAAGTGTTTTTACGAACACAGATTTACTCTAAATTTTGAATCTGTTCTATCAATTGAGCTTTAAGATAAAGATAAATAATTACAATATTTTTCATCTAAAGTACTCTCAATTAGATCAAACCATTTATCTTCACTTTAATTTATATCCTTAGTATACTAAGACATTCTTTCTAAGAATTATTAATAATCAGAGCATTTAAGATTCTTTATTTTGTACTTCAACATCTCAACTTCCAATACATTTAATTTACTAATCACTTCATCTGCCCTTCTGATGTATTGATAAAAAGGTCTATTCACATGAGGCTCATCTGGTGACATATCCACAACTTAGACCTTAAATAAATATTCCATTCCCTACCATACTCAATTTTCCCATCTCATTAAAAACATTCCATGCACTTTCCTTAGGTACTACTATCTAATAATATGCCATAGTCTCTGATCTAAAGAAACTCATCAATAAGATATAAATAATATTTATGTTAATTTAAGAAGCATAAATAAATTATTTATAAAACAGAACCATTACTATCTTTTTATTTAAATAAAATCCTTTAGATTCACATATTTAATTTTATAATATTTACATAATCATCAACTTTGATTAGAATAAGAACATTCTTAATTAATTTCCTTTAGTATTTATTTAATACTATTTTCAATTATAGTTACTTAAACAAATAAACCATAAAACTATTTTAATCATTCTATTATTTTTCATCTTCATTAAAAATTTCCGTTATTCTAGTTATTACTATATAAGCTTAAAGACCCTTAAATAAACTTAAATGAAAGCATTAACCTATAAATAAATATAAATAATATAGAAATAGGATTTAGATTTGAAATACTAATAATTCAAGTTAAATATATTAATTGCTACAAAATCAACGCTGATTTTAAATTAAATTAAGGTTTTCTTATTAGTATTCAGAATCTTTATATGTTATTAACTTTATGAATACTTTAGAGTTAGTATGAAGATGCAAAATATCTTAATAACTGAATATCGGATTTAAATTAGTAACATATATAGATAGATAAATTTAACGATAAAAATGAAGAAATCAATATGTTTTTTTGGTTATTTTTTATTAATTTGATATAATGATTAATAATTAATTAAGAAATATAAATTAATTAAAGAATTTAATTAATGGAGGAATCAAAATTAAGAATTGCCATCATCAATAAAGACAGATGTAAACCTTAACGTTGTGCTTTGGAATGCAAGAAGAATTGTCCAATTAATAAGAGTGAGAAATTGTGTATAGAAGTTACAAAGTAAAGTAAATTATGCACAATCAATGAATCATTGTGTATTGGATGTGCAATTTGTGTTAAGAAATGTCCATTCAAAGCAATCATGATTATCAATTTACCAAAAGATTTATCTAAAGAATTAACTCATTAATATGGAGCCAATTCATTCAAATTACATAGATTACCAACACCTAGACCAGGATAAGTATTAGGATTAGTTGGTACTAATGGAATAGGAAAATCAACTGCATTGTAAATTCTAAGTGGAAAAGTGCAACCTAATTTAGGTTTATATAAAGAACCTCCTACATTTGAATAGATCTTAAAATATTTTAGAGGAAGTGAATTACAAAGTTATTTACAAAAAGTATTTGAAGGAAAGGTGAAGGCTGTAATAAAACCATAATATGTTGATTCAATTGGTAAGGCAGTTAAAGGTAAAGTTGGAGAAGTTATTAAAAATAAGGATAAATTGAATAGAGCAGAATAATTATTAAAAGATTTAGAATTGTCTCATTTAGTAGATAGAGAAATTGGTATGTTGTCTGGAGGTGAATTGTAAAGATTTGCAATATTGATGGCATGTATTTCAGAAAGTGAATGTTTGATGCTTGATGAACCAACATCTTATTTAGATATTAAATAAAGAGTGGTTGCATCTAGAATCATAAGAAATTAAGTAAGAGATAACAATTATCTTATTGTTGTAGAACATGATCTATCCATATTAGATTATTTATCAGATTTTATATGTTGTTTATATGGAGAATAAACAGCTTATGGTATAGTGACAATGCCTTTTTCAGTTAGAGAAGGTATTAATATATTTTTGGCTGGATTTGTACCAACTGAAAATATGAGATTTAGAGATTATGAATTAAGTTTCAAGATTTCAGATAATTTAGATATGTTAGAGAATCAGAAATAAAAGAAAAATTATCAATATCCTGATATGAAAAAAGTATAAGGAGAATTTTCATTGTAAGTAAAAGCAGGAGGTTTTAATAATTCAGAAATTGTTGTTTTATTAGGAGAAAATGGAACTGGTAAAACTACATTCATTAAAATGTTGGCTGGAAAAGATAAAGATGTTGTTGATATTCCAAAATTAAGTGTCAGTTATAAACCATAAATGATTGCACCTACATTTGATGGAACAGTTTAAGAATTATTTAGATCTAAATTATAAGATAGTCATAGAAATCCATAATTTTAAACTGATGTATATAAACCATTGAGAATTGAAGATTTAGAAGATAATGAAGTTAAGAAATTATCAGGAGGTGAATTATAAAGAGTTGCTTTGATTTTAGCATTAGGTAAACCAGCTGAAGTTTATTTATTGGATGAACCATCTGCTTATTTAGATGCAGAATAAAGAGTTGCTACATCTAAATTAATTAAAAGATTTATAATGAATACAAAAAGAGCAGGTTTTGTTGTTGAACATGATTTTATTATGGCAACTTATTTGGCAGATAAGTAATTACTTTATTTATATTAAAAGAGTTGTAGTGTATGATGGTGTACCAGGAAAAGCATGTGTTGCTAATGCACCTGAAGATTTATTAACAGGAATGAATAAATTTTTGAATGTTCTTAATATAACATTTAGAAGAGGTATAATATCTATTTTATTATTTTATAGATCCAANTTAGTTGGAACTAATGGTATTGGAAAATCAACTGCATTATAAATTCTAAGTGGAAAAGTGCAACCTAATTTGGGTTTATATAAAGAGCCTCCTACATTTGAATAGATCTTAAAGTATTTTAGAGGAAGTGAATTACAAAGTTATTTACAAAAAGTATTTGAAGGAAAGGTGAAGGCTGTAATAAAACCATAATATGTTGATTCAATTGGTAAGGCAGTTAAAGGTAAAGTTGGAGAAGTTATTAAAAATAAGGATAAATTGAATAGAGCAGAATAATTATTAAAAGATTTAGAATTGTCTCATTTAGTAGATAGAGAAATTGGTATGTTATCTGGAGGTGAATTGTAAAGATTTGCAATATTAATGGCATGTATTTCAGAAAGTGAATGTTTGATGCTTGATGAACCAACATCTTATTTAGATATTAAATAAAGAGTGGTTGCATCTAGAATCATAAGAAATTAAGTAAGAGATAACAATTATCTTATTGTTGTAGAACATGATCTATCCATATTAGATTATTTATCAGATTTTATATGTTGTTTATATGGAGAATAAACAGCTTATGGTATAGTGACAATGCCTTTTTCAGTTAGAGAAGGTATTAATATATTTTTGGCTGGATTTGTACCAACTGAAAATATGAGATTTAGAGATTATGAATTAAGTTTCAAGATTTCAGATAATTTAGATATGTTAGAAAATCAGAAATAAAAGAAAAATTATCAATATCCTGATATGAAAAAAGTATAAGGAGAATTTTCATTGTAAGTAAAAGCAGGAGGTTTTAATAATTCAGAAATTGTTGTTTTATTAGGAGAAAATGGAACTGGTAAAACTACATTCATTAAAATGTTGGCTGGAAAAGATAAAGATGTTGTTGATATTCCAAAATTAAGTGTCAGTTATAAACCATAAATGATTGCACCTACATTTGATGGAACAGTTTAAGAATTATTTAGATCTAAATTATAAGATAGTCATAGAAATCCATAATTTTAAACTGATGTATATAAACCATTGAGAATTGAAGATTTAGAAGATAATGAAGTTAAGAAATTATCAGGAGGTGAATTATAAAGAGTTGCTTTGATTTTAGCATTAGGTAAACCAGCTGAAGTTTATTTATTGGATGAACCATCTGCTTATTTAGATGCAGAATAAAGAGTTGCTACATCTAAATTAATTAAAAGATTTATAATGAATACAAAAAGAGCAGGTTTTGTTGTTGAACATGATTTTATTATGGCAACTTATTTGGCAGATAAGTAATTATTTTATTTATATTAAAAGAGTTGTAGTGTATGATGGTGTACCAGGAAAAGCATGTGTTGCTAATGCACCTGAAGATTTATTAACAGGAATGAATAAATTTTTGAATGTTCTTAATATAACATTTAGAAGAGGTATAATATCTATTTTATTATTTTATAGATCCAANACTGCATTATAAATTCTAAGTGGAAAAGTGCAACCTAATTTGGGTTTATATAAAGAGCCTCCTACATTTGAATAGATCTTAAAGTATTTTAGAGGAAGTGAATTACAAAGTTATTTACAAAAAGTATTTGAAGGAAAGGTGAAGGCTGTAATAAAACCATAATATGTTGATTCAATTGGTAAGGCAGTTAAAGGTAAAGTTGGAGAAGTTATTAAAAATAAGGATAAATTGAATAGAGCAGAATAATTATTAAAAGATTTAGAATTGTCTCATTTAGTAGATAGAGAAATTGGTATGTTATCTGGAGGTGAATTGTAAAGATTTGCAATATTAATGGCATGTATTTCAGAAAGTGAATGTTTGATGCTTGATGAACCAACATCTTATTTAGATATTAAATAAAGAGTGGTTGCATCTAGAATCATAAGAAATTAAGTAAGAGATAACAATTATCTTATTGTTGTAGAACATGATCTATCCATATTAGATTATTTATCAGATTTTATATGTTGTTTATATGGAGAATAAACAGCTTATGGTATAGTGACAATGCCTTTTTCAGTTAGAGAAGGTATTAATATATTTTTGGCTGGATTTGTACCAACTGAAAATATGAGATTTAGAGATTATGAATTAAGTTTCAAGATTTCAGATAATTTAGATATGTTAGAAAATCAGAAATAAAAGAAAAATTATCAATATCCTGATATGAAAAAAGTATAAGGAGAATTTTCATTGTAAGTAAAAGCAGGAGGTTTTAATAATTCAGAAATTGTTGTTTTATTAGGAGAAAATGGAACTGGTAAAACTACATTCATTAAAATGTTGGCTGGAAAAGATAAAGATGTTGTTGATATTCCAAAATTAAGTGTCAGTTATAAACCATAAATGATTGCACCTACATTTGATGGAACAGTTTAAGAATTATTTAGATCTAAATTATAAGATAGTCATAGAAATCCATAATTTTAAACTGATGTATATAAACCATTGAGAATTGAAGATTTAGAAGATAATGAAGTTAAGAAATTATCAGGAGGTGAATTATAAAGAGTTGCTTTGATTTTAGCATTAGGTAAACCAGCTGAAGTTTATTTATTGGATGAACCATCTGCTTATTTAGATGCAGAATAAAGAGTTGCTACATCTAAATTAATTAAAAGATTTATAATGAATACAAAAAGAGCAGGTTTTGTTGTTGAACATGATTTTATTATGGCAACTTATTTGGCAGATAAGTAATTATTTTATTTATATTAAAAGAGTTGTAGTGTATGATGGTGTACCAGGAAAAGCATGTGTTGCTAATGCACCTGAAGATTTATTAACAGGAATGAATAAATTTTTGAATGTTCTTAATATAACATTTAGAAGAGGTATAATATCTATTTTATTATTTTATAGATCCAACTAATTTTAGACCAAGAATCAATAAAATGGATTCTATTTTGGATAGAGAATAGAAATAAAGTGGTAACTATTTCTGTTTAGATGAATGAAAAATTCTTATTAAATTTACATAAATTATAAGTATATTTTAATATGTAAGTTGGACTCAACAAATTTGGATTTTCTTTTGATAAAAAAATTGGAAGTGGTTCTTTTGGTTAAATCTTTTTAGGTACAACTTATTGAATAATCTTTAAGGAACTAATAAATAAACTGGATAAGATGTAGCTATTAAATTAGTATGACAATTTTTATTCATCTAGGAAGCTATTGCAAATAAACATCCATAATTAATATTTGAGGGCAAGATCTATAAAGTATTGTAAGGAGGAAGTAAATTAAATTAAATATATTAAGTTGGGATTCCATAAGCTTATTGGGTTGGAAGTGAAGGAGAATACAATATATTAGTTATGGAACTACTTGGTCCCAATTTAGAAGATCTATTTAATTAATGCAAAAGACATTTTTCATTAAAAACAGTCTTAATGATTGCTTAATAGATGCTTTCTAGAATTGAATTTATTCATAGCAAAAACTTAATTCATAGAGATATAAAACCTGACAATTTTTTAATTGGATTAGCTTAAAAGAATGATTTAATATATATTATAGATTTTGGTCTGTCTAAAAAATATAGAGATTAGAGAACTAGTATTATTAAATTATATTATTTTAGATCTCCATATTCCATATAGAGAAGGTAAAAGTTTAACAGGAACAGCTAGATATGCTAGTGTAAATACACATTTAGGAGTTGAATAAAGTAGAAGAGATGATTTAGAAGCAATTGGATATGTTTTAGTATATTTTTTAAATGGATAATTACCTTGGTAAGGTTTAAAAACAGATAATAAGAAGGATAAGTATGAAAAAATTGCAGAATCTAAAATTGCTACTTCAATTGAAAAATTATGTGAAGGATTACCTGAAGAATTTTCTATTTATTTTAATTATTGCAAAAGTTTAAAATTTGAAGAGAGACCTGATTATATTTGGTTAAAGAAATTATTTAAAGATCTTTATACAAGAATGAAATATCCTAATGATAATGTTTTTGATTGGACCAAACTTTGATTATTGATTTATTATTTATAAGATTAGAATATATTATTATTTCATATAATTCTATTAATATAATTAATATTATATGAATTCTTAGTAAATATTATTATATAAATAAGAATATTGGTTATTAATATTTATAATTATATTATAATTAATTTTCTATTAAATATAACTCATAATAATCCACTTTATAATGTTGATTTCAATGTTAATAATGAATTTACTTATTCTTATTTTTATTTAAATTAAGCTTATAATTTTTAATACTAATAAATTAAATTAATTTATTACTTCTTTTGCTTATTCTACAATGTAAATATCAGACTTTTCACACTTTCTTTAACAAGCTTATGATTTCTACTCAAAATTTCTACATGATTATGCAAGCTATATATAAGATTGGAAAGTACTTTTTCTGTTTCATTTTTATATAAAGTAAATTATTGATTGGTTTTCTCAATAATTTATTAAAATTCCTCTGCTTTCTATAGATGTGGATTCAAATGAGCATCTACTAATGCTTCTTCTTCTTTTATTTTTTATAATAAATCTTCTGAATTATCAGTTGTACCAAGTGATTAACTTATATTATTGATTTATTCAAATATTTTAGTTTCTCTTTCTTTTCTTTATTAATCTTTAAGATAAATAAATTATAATAATTACCTAATTTAATTAATTCTTCATCAAAGATTTTATCTCTTTTTTCAACATGTTCTTAAATTTCTTTTATTTTTTCTTTTAAAGCTTCATTTTCAGCTTAACTTTTATGTTTAGCAGTAGAGACTTCTTCCATTTTACTAGATATATCTTTTATTTCTTATTAGAATCCTTCAACTAATTCTGTTTTCTTTTATTTTTCTTCATCAACTACTTTATTGTATTTTTCTTAATATTCATTTAATTGATTTGTTTAAGTAATTCTAAAAGCATCTAATGTTTTAATTTGATTCTTCAATCTTTAATTTTCATTAAAAACTTTTTTATTAGAATTAAAAATTACCTTTTTCTTTTTCTTGAGTAGCTATCTCAAATTTCTTTGCTGATAGTAATGCATCTTTATGTGCTGTTTTACTTTCATTAATGATTTTTTTTAATTTATTAATCAAAGCTGTCTTGTCTTCTAAACTATCTAGTTAACTCTTAGAAATTTTAGTTTATCTGGATATTTTTTTGAATTCATCATCTCCTTTGAATCTTTGATGAAATTCTTCTAAATTTTATTCTTAAAATAAGTTAAATGATTTACATGTATACAATCCTTTGATTTATGCAAAGAGATCAAAAACTGTGGGATTCATATATTATTTTTGAAATTTTTATTATCCAAAATTAAAGAAATAATTCAAAAACAAAAAATTATATATATCAGAACTGGCGAAGATTGTCGACATCTTTAAATTACGAAGTCGGAATACTTGATCATCATATATATATATATTATTGATTTCCTTTTTAAAGAATTATGAATTCAATACCCAGATTGTGGGTTTTAATTAATTTAAATTAATAAACTCAACATGGTATTTTATGTCTCTCATAATAGTAAATTGCCGATGATCAATAAGATGTATAACATTCTATCCCAGACTTAGACCATGTAAATATCAAATTAGGAGATGATGAAAAATAAGTTAATCAAATATCATCCAATACTGTCTCTTAAGTTCAATAACCTCAATAAATTGCAATACCTATTTAACAACTACCATCTAAAACACAAGATATCTAATTTCTTTCATAATTGTTTCATTGTTTATTTAAGGGACTTGCCATCTTTGTGTAATATAAGCATTAAAATTAGATTCTTTATTCCAGAAGGCTTATTAAATTTGACATATTGTTTTATTATAGTAGTGATATTATCAGCAATAGATTTTTGGACAGTTAAGAATATTACAGGAAGGTAAACTAAAGATTATGATATAGAAAACTGGTTGGTTTAAGATGGTGGTCAGAAGTAAAGGAAGATGGATCTGAGGAATGGATATATGAATGTCAAGTAGCAAATTTTGTTCCAAATCCATTCAATTCAAATATATTTTGGTTTGCTTAATTTGGAGTTGTCTTAACTTGGGGAATTTTAATTTTATTAGATTTAATCGGTTTTAGATGGTTTAATGTAAAATTTAAAATAAAAATAAGGCTGTTTTAGCAATGACTGCATTTTGTTTGACAGGAATTAATTTTGTAGGATTTTATAAATGTAGAGGAGAACATTAAAAGAAAGCAAAAGAATATATGACTAAAATTGGTTTAAAAGCTATTTAGTAATGGTGATATTATTATTATAATAAATGAATACTAATTATTCAGATATTGATATTTCTATTTTTATTTAATTAAGTAATAAAGAATTCTTAATAATATTTTAATAAGTTTATAATAATTTTTTATGATTATCTTAAAATTATTAATTTTGTTATATTCTTAATTTTTCATATTGTTTCATAATTTATTTTTTAGATCATTTTAATGTCCTAATTCAATTAATATGTTCAAATAAACTAAATGATATCTAATAAATTTATATTTAAATTAATTATTTTTTTATTTATTACTATTATTTCTATAAGATTTTATATAAAACTTATAAAATGATTGTATATATAATTATAAGAGATTGTATTAAATATAATTATATATAATATTTTTGATATTATATAGAATATAAACTAATAAGTAATTTTATATTTAAATTTATGATATGAAATCTTCAAATATCTTTGTAATGTGTATATATACATTAAATTTTGTGTGAGTAAGGCTTTTTAATATCTATAATATCTAAATAGATAAAAAGATGAGCATATGAATCTAATTAAAAAAAAACTTAATTTCCTTATCTAAGAGAAGCAGTACAATTAATAGTTAAATTATCTAATATAAATGTTAATTTCTCTTCATATATATTTTGTGTATTATTTAAATATAAAATTATGACACCTTTGAAAATAGTGATCATTTATACCTTCTTAATGTTGATATATATACATCTATACATCGATGTGATTATTATTCCATATTCTTGTAGCTTATTTAGCATTCTCTTTCATATATGTTATAAGTTCTAAAGAAGGATTGTTAGCTGTACTTTCAAATATAGATTATTTATTGTTAATTTTACTAAAATTTGTAGATTGAGCCATTAATGTTTTCTTTGATGAATGTACAAGAGATTTAATATTACATGAGTATTAAAATATAGGCTAATCTTCATTAAATATGACAAAGGGATCATAAACATACAATTTTAGATAATCAATATGAGGTGGTACAGTAACATTAAATTTATTTAATGTTTTCATAGTTTCGTAATCAATAATATTATCACAATTATCAAATATAACTTCTTCTTCTATTTTTGTAGTTCCCATATTTCTATAATAAAAGTATAACATTCCTAAATTCATTTATGTAGTAACTTATATTTCTGGTTATTCTAATTATTCATATGTTCTAGTATTTTCTTCATTTACATTAGCTATAGCTAAACTGGCTAACATTAATTTACTTTATTCTTAAATATCATTTTTATTTATTATAAGATTATCTGGTACTGAAGATCCAAAATATTATACAAACAATCTTTATTATTCTTATTATAATTTTGGATTATTCTCTATCTAATTATAAAAATATGCTTAACAAAATAGAGTATATGAACCTTAAGCTAATGATTATATATCTAAACAAACATTTTATTTAATATTGTAATCTCCAGTTAAAAATTCATATTAATCATCATTCTTTTTGGAAATCAAAATTCTAATTAATCCATATTTAATTGGAGATACTAATTAATTAGAATTGAAATTTTAATCTCTTTAACAGATTGATATATAAAGATGAGATTCTTAAATGATATCAAAATCATAACAATAAGTATTTTCAATATATTATTAGAATTCTCTTTTTTCTTATTAAAATAATTCTTTAGAATTCCATTAATAATTAGGATGATGTTAAATAATACATAATTCTGGAAATATCTCTGAAAATTATTTGAATGTTAAAAAAAATATGCATTTATCATTCTAGATTTACTATTCTATATAAAATAAGATTTATTACATCCTTAAATAACTAAATTTCTATTTGCAGCTCTCATCTAAATCAATTCTTATTCTTTTATATTCCCTTTAACTATTGTTTAAATTACATAACCACATTCTAAACCATTTTATTTTTGAACAGCAAACAACAAAGAATGAAATTACATTTGAGATATAATTACATTTTTTAAGTTATTAATATCTTCTGTACTAACCTTTATTATTGGTTATCCAATCAACATCTAAATATCAAATACAAAAATTACAAACATAAAAGATTCTATTGATTCCTCTATTAATCTATTCAAAATATCATAATTCTTTCCCAATACCTTAACTATTGCTTTCTCTATAATAATTGGCCATTCACATTCACATTCTAAGGTTGCTAGCTTTTAAATATTGCCTGTTAAATAACAAGGTATTTTTTCATCAATTTTTATTAAATGCCATTCTCCTTATAAATTTAACCAAACTCCATAAAGGGAATTTAGATTTAAATAAATATTCTTAACAAATTGAATATCTTTCTATAGAATATTAAATGCATTGATTAAAGAATTATCTTGATAATATTAAGATCTTTTGAATTCAGAACATGGTTAAATATTCTTATTTAATTGAAGAGACCCTATTCTTAAGAATTGTATTTGACTATTTTAATCAGTATAATCAAAATCACTATCAATAAATGTTTATCTCTCATTTCCAATTTGATTGAATTTATAATATTCTTCCTTGCATTTATTTGGTAATCGTTGAAGCATATAATTAATATTATTATTAATAAAAATTTAATTTGTGATGACACTCTTAGGACACCTTCAGAGACAATATTGTCAATGAGATGTTAGTTACCTGTCTGATCTATTTAAATAAATATATATATATAATCAATCATCAAAATTATCAATAAAGTTGTAGTTAAGCTTTTCAATTTGTTAATTCAATTTA